GGCCGCCGTCCCCCCCGCCCCCCGTCCCCCATCGGTGCCTCGGCCTCCCCCGCCCCCTTGGGACGCGACGCCTCAGCCTCTACGCGCCGCTGTGCGCCGCGTTCCCCGTCCCGCAGGAGCGCGCAACTTCCGCGCTGCTGTAATCCAACCAACCTCCGCCTCTACGGCACAGTAACACAACCGTATTTTCGCTGATTATAAAGCAAAGGGTTCCGAATGCCGCAGTATCGGCGTGAACCCCCGGCGTCGCTCCTGCAGCAAGAACAAAGGACGCGAATGACACAACGGCGGGCGGTGGCGGTGGAGGAGCTCCGGGGCTGCAGGCGGAGCGACCAACCGGCCGACGGTGAGAGCCGGGTGAGCTCAGGCCGGCCGCGCTGCACTGCGATCCCACCGCCCCGACCGCCGCCGGCTGGGGCCGCACACGGGGACAACGGGCAGCGAGAGCCCGGGCTGCTGCGGGCGGCGGTGAGGCGCGGCGCGGCGCTGCGGCAGCGAACATCTGGTTCCGATTAACAGAAGGACGTGAGAGGCCGAGGAACAGCTGCACGGAGCGCTGCGCTGCTGGCTGCCGCCCAGCGCTGCTGCGGGGTGGGGCCCCGACACGGGAAAGGCAGAGCTGGGCTGCCCTGCGCGCTCCTCCACGAACGCCGACGGAGTCGGGCACGGAGGTGCAGGGAGGTTTTGCTGCGGGAGGATCGCAGCGTGGGACGGCTGCGGTCGCGGCTCCGTCCGATAGAATGGCACGGAGGGGCGCAGAGCCCATCTGACAGCCTGGAAGCAGGGCTAGAGAGCCCTCTTTGGGTCCTGGAGCACCTCCCATCACCACTCACAGCAACGACAATCCTCTTAATCCAGCAGCGGCAGAGGAAGTGAGAAATGGAAACAGCAAAGGGGTGAACCTGAGGGATGGACGGTGCAGGAAGAGGATGCAGTGGGCAGGTGAAAGCACCTGGAGGCCACGAGGAGACAAAACCTCCCTGCCACCCCACTGCACTGCACCCAGAAACCACATTTTCTAGAAATGCAACCCCACTTCGTGCATAACAGAGCGCAGAGCTCAGCAGCAATCGTTTTAGGAAAGGAAACAGCTCTGGAGGCGGCGCATCGCCGTGCACCAACGTTACAGCAGAGCTGTGGGTGAGAACATGCATGGCACTGAACAGGCACTGTGGTCCTGGAGCAGCAGAACTGCCTGCAGCCCACCTGCAGCCCTTCCCCAGCCTCAGCCCCGCTTCCCACTCCTGCCTGCAGCACCGGGCGGCCGTCAGCCTCAATCTGCAGAGAACTGAGGTGAATGGAGAGCCTGAAAGCATTTCGTACAGTGAAAGGGGAAGATGTGTTTGAGGTGAGAGCAACAGCTGAGCGTTGGGCTGCTCAGCAGATTCCGTGCTCTGAGCACTGCTGGGGCAACGCTGCCTCTGCTGGGAGCTCCCAGGCTTTGTGCCAGCCCCAGTTCTGAGTTCTGATGGCTCCTAAGGGATGCTGAGAGCTTCCATGAAGGGGCGGCTGAGTGGATGAGGACGTGTCCCTGTGATGAGCAGGCAGCCGGGGCTCCTATGGAGGTGTGGTTTGACAGCTGTGCTCTGCAGTGAAAGGAGAGCACAGGAAATCACAGCAGCACTGCTGGGCACAGCGCCTGCAGCCACATGTCAGTGGGTGAGCGCACAGCTTGTGCTCCTCCTGGTTCTGCCCACACCTGTGCTGACTGCTTTGAGCCTCTGAGCTCAACAGAGCTGCTCTGAATCGGTGCCACCTCCCTCAGACACAGCCTCTGCACCCCTGCTCTGCTCCCACCCGTCCCCACCCCCAGGACAGCCACACAAAGCCCCCTCATGCAGCCTCAGCGAGGCCCCATTGCCATCCCTGCCATCCCTGCCATCCCAGAGGGCAGGGCGGCCCAGGCCCAGCAGCTTCCAGGTACTGAACTCCCATAATCAGTGCCCACAGCCCACGGCGGTGGCTGGGCTTCAAGCAGAGCTGGGCAGAGGCAGAAACACAGTGAGAGTGATGGAGAGGGGCGGCGCTGGGGCTCCAGCACCATGTGCTGCTCCAGTCCAACCACAGCTCGACCCAATGCAGTGTTAACCCAACCACACAGTCATGGGGTCATCCCACGTAACCCAACACAGCCCACAGCCCGTCAGCCCCCTGCCCACAGCACAACCCCTCACCTGCAGCCCCTCCACACTGACAGCAGCCAGGAGCTGACGATTATTTTGCACATCAGTTCCTGAAGCCTTACAAATGGCCAGCAATGACTCCAACTGTTCTGGATCCTGCGCCATTGCTCCGAGAATAGAAAAGTAACCACAATCCCTGGCCAAGTCCTGGCTTGTTAATTAAGCTTTCTTTCGTACAGGCAGCCAGCCCAGCCTTTCAAAGCCCTCCCTCACTGCTCAGCTCTTTCCAGCCCTAAAGCAGCTCGCTCTCAAGCCAGCTATATAAATGCAGAATGAACGAGGCCTGAGCAAGGCAGTGCCCAGCCGTGCCTCATCCCACAGACCCCAGCCCAGCTGCAGGACCCACCAGGACCTGAGGTCCCCCTGCTCCTCCCGAGACCAGCAGGGACAGGGATGTGCCCGCAGCTGGCAGCTCCTGGGGCAGCTGGGCAGGCTGCTGAGCAGCCCCGCAGTGCCTGCAGGCACAACGCACAGAAGCACAGGGCCATTCATGTTGGAAAGGACCTCCTCGACCACAAACCCAACCTGCCCGGCTGCCAGCAGGGCACCAGGAGGTGACTCTCAGCCAGAAGCAGACGTGCAGCTCCCACGCAGTGCTGTGTGTGCAATGTGCTCCTGAGCAAGGAGTGTCTGTGCAGAGTCAGCGAGCACGGAATTAAAGGCTGTGTTAGAAACTGGCCTTACAAATGGTTTTGTGTGCAGAAAGCCCGTGCTGAGATGGAAAGACAAATGCACGTTCATGGGCAGGGGGCTCTTGCAACTAAAATAATCATAGAGTCATAGAACTGTATGATGGCCTAGGCTGAAAAGGAGCACAGTGCTCATCCATTTCCAACCCCCTGCTGTGTGCAGGTCGCCAACCAGCAGCCCAGGCTGCCCAGAGCCACATCCAGCCTGGCCTTGAATGCCTGCAGGGATGGGGCATCCACAGCTTCCATGGGCAACCTGTTCCAGTGCTTCACCACCACCTTGTTTAGTCTCAGCGTTGCTTTCTTTCAAACAAATTCACATGACTTCTCTATTTCAAGACAAAATGATACAAATAAATGATAATAATGAAGTTATGTATTACAGCAGCCATCCATCCTGTATAGTGGAGAGAGATGGAACCATGGCCTGGGCTCCTGGTGCTGCAGCCCCACTGCCAGCTGCACCCCCCATCCCTCATCCCACTGCTGTGCCCACCTGGACCCTGCAGTCCCTGACTGCCAGCCCTCGCTGTGAGTCACACATGGAGAGCTGGGGGACGCCCTGCTGTCACCCTGTGGCACCACAGAATGACACAATCATTCAGGGCAGAAAAGACCTTTGAGATCCCCAGCTGCAGCCCATCCCACTGTGCCCACTGCCCGCATCCCCCACCACCATCCCCCCACCACCACCCCCCCACAGCGCTGGGCACCCCAGGATGGTGACCCCCCGCCCCATGAGCGGCTGAGCCAGTGCCCGACTCCTCTGTGGGGAAGAAATTGTTCTTAACACCCAACGTGACCCTCCGTGATGCAATGTGAGACCACCCCTCTCATCCTAACAGCAGTGCTGATGGCACTCAGCACCCCGGTGCGCCCGCCTCCAGCTCCACACCACAACCAACGCCAACACACAGCTTTCCAGGCCAGGGCTGGACCCCCCCAGCCCCTCATTTCAGAGCCCACACGGCACGGAGCAGTGCAGCACTGCAGGCTGGGCAGAGCCCAGGGGATGTGCACAAAGACAAACACCAGGCACAGATAAAACAAAGCAAGCTGTGGCTTTCTGCCTGCGTTCCCACCGTGCCCCAGAGGCTCTGCTGTGACCGCAGACACCTCAGAGCGGTGCATCGCTTCCTCCCCAAAGGCAGCCACTGGTGCCACGGCCCCCAGCCCCAGGGGAGCCCCTCTGTGCCACACACCGTTCCCTGCTGAGATAGAAGTCCGTAGGGCTGACCGCAGCGGGGTCTGAGTGCAGCCCACAGCCCCAGCAGAGCTTCCTGTGTGGTTGGGGCAGAGGCGGTGATGGGTGGCACGGCTCTGGAACTGCTGCTCCTACAAGGGCAGACGTCATCAGAGCCGATGTGAGAAGCGGGGCAGGAGGGGCAGCTGTACACCGTGCCCAGCAAGACGGCCCTGACCCAACCAGCAGAGGGACAGGGAGCTTCTGCCATTCTCTGCAGACACTGAGGGCTGTGTGACAACACAAAGCCATCCCTCCTCCATGGCAGAGTCCACGTTGCTCCCACCAGCCCAAAACGGGGCCAGGATGGTGCAAAACTCCAGTGGAAGCCCAGCTGCTCTGGTATCATTTTCATTGAAACTCCATACTGAGAGCCTAATTAATCCATCTTACACCTTTCATACCGACCTTCATACCATACCAATATGAAATTGTTCTATCTTCTTATCAGGAGACTGCCCATAGAACCACAGAATTACTGAGGCCAGAAAAGACCCCGGAGGTCCCCAACCCCACCCCAGCCCCACCATCCCCACTGGCCACATCCCAGTATCCAACCCGACCCTCCCAGTGCAACTCCATCCTAAACCAAGCACAACCCAGTACAAACACACTGCTCACACACTGACAGCTGGACGAGGCAGCTGTGCCCAACAGCTGCAATCTGTGCTTTGAGAACAGACCCATCCAGCACAGAACAACCCCACAGCACAGCTCCCACTCAGCCCTGCTGGACGTGGGCTGCTGATGCACCTTGTTCCATTACTTAACTCATGTCTTTGGTTTACGTTCAGTAACATCCACTTTTTCTCCATTAGCAATTAAATATACATAACAACCTTCTTGTCCCAAGGAGCCCCTCCTGTGTATGCCATTAATGGTGACATCTGGAAGTCCTGGGCACAAACCAGGTCTCCTGCAGGGAGACCTCACTGCTCTGTCTGAATCCTGAGAGCTCGGAGTGAGGTTGGACCGGCCTCTGCTCCAGTAACAGCAATAGGGTGAGAGGGGGTGGTCCCATGCTGTGCCCAGGGAGGGTCAGGATGGATGTTGGGACCAATTTCTCCTCCAAAGAGCCATTGGGCACCGGCACAGCTGCCCAGGGGTAGGGGGTCACCATCCTGGGGGTCACCACTGGGGGATGTGGTCAGTGGGCATGGTGGGGGTAGGCTGGGGATGGGCACGGGAATCTCAGGGGTCTTCTCCAGCTTTACATCCTCTGCAGTGTGCTGACATTCTCTCCACGGTTGGATGCCCACCAGTTCAAGCTGTCTGTGCCCACAGGCTGGTGGAGCCAGCTCCATGCTGGGCAGAAGCCTTGCGAGCACACAGCAATGTTCTGCACACAGCAGTGCTGGCACTGCTCAGCCCTGTGTGCGCCCACCCCTAAAGCCCGTCCTGCTGACACCAGACAGCAGCTGCAGGACCAGAACTTCCACCCAGGAAAGGGCAACGGGGGCACAACCCCAGCCCATGTGCAGCAGTGGCACAGCCATGGCACGCAGCAATAGCCAGGAGGGCAGCAAACAGGAAACTCAGGATGGGTTCCATGCGGAACAGCAGCTGGCTGGGAGCATAAAGAGTGCATTGAGTTGGGAAGGGATGGAGGATGGCTCTCACTGAGCAGCCTCTGCCCAGTCAGAGTGCAGAGCCCAGCACTGGCACAGCACTGGGCACAGCACTGGCACAGAACTGAGTACAGCACTGGGCACAGCATTGGCACAGCACTGGGCACAGCACTGGGGACAGTACTGGGGACAGTACTGGCACAGCACTGAGCACAGCACAGAGCACAGCGCTGGGCACAGCACTGAGCACAGCACTGGGCACAGCATTGACACAGCACTGGGCACAGCACTGAGCACAGCACAGAGCACAGCACTGGGCACAGCACTGGGCACAGCACTGGCACAGCACTGGGCACAGCACTGGGGACAGTAATGGCACAGCACTGAGCACAGCACTGGGCACAGCACTGGCACAGCACTGGGGACAGCACTTGCACAGCACTGGGGACAGCACTGGGCACAGCACTGGCACAGCACTGGGGACAGCACTGAGCACAGCACTGGCACAGCACTGGGGACAGCACTGGGCACAGCACTGGCACAGCACTGGGGACAGCACTGGGCACAGCACTGAGCACAGCATTGGCACAGCATTGGCACAGCACAGAGCACAGCACTGGGGACAGCACTGAGCACAGCACTGGGCACAGCACTGAGCACAGCACTGAGCACAGCACTGAGCACAGCACTGGGCACAGCACTGAGCACAGCACTGGGCACAGTACTTGCACAGCACTGGGCACAGTACTGGCACAGCACTGCAATGGGGAGCACTGCAATGAGTGCAATGTGTGCAGGCAGCACTGCAAGGAGACAACAGAGCAGCTCCAGAGCATTGCTCAGGGTAATGAAAACAGAAGGAGCTTAAAATGCTGAGCAACCAGGTGACTGCGGGTGGAGATCAGCGTAAAGCGCAGAGAAAGAGATCTCATTTTGCATACAGAATAATGAGCTGCACTTCCTTGTTAGCATCAGAAATGAAATCCTGAGGTCATTCTGCACACTGGCAGCAATCAGAAAGCAAACAGAGCATGGGCAACTACTGAGAAAGGAAGAGAGAACAAAGCAGGAATGCGGATCTGAGCGGCCCCATGGCTGCAGCTGGAGCTCCGTGCTGCACTCCCAGCCAGCCCCCCACACTGACCCCACTCAGATCCCAAATCAGACACAGCAACCAGGAAGGCTCTGAGAAGGGCAGATGACCGAAGCCTGGCCCAGGTCCTGCGAGCAGCATGAGCAGGGTGAGGGTGGGGGGCACAAAGTCTGCAGTGCCAGAGGAGGAGGAGAAGGAGGAGGAGGAGGTTGAGGCCAACAGGGAGCAATGAGTTTGCTGCTCCCTCCCAGTGCCATCCAGGGGACAGCAAATCAGTGAGGCAGCTCACGGGCAGGAGGAGATGGGTGAGAAGCAGTGCTGCACTGCAGAACGCCTGGCAAGCACTCAGCTGATGGGGCCAAGCGCAGGAGAAGGGCCACAGCCCCACTGTGCCACAGCGTGGGGGTCCTGCAGGGCAGCACCGTGCTGCACCGCCCCAAGGACACTGCGGTGCCACGCAGTGATGGCAGCAGGGGGCTCAGCACCCCGCCAGCCCCAGGGCTGCAGTGGGGATTTCAGTGCCACCTCCTGGCACCCGGAACCTATTTATAGAAGTTGGAGCAGAAGCAATTTAGATCTTTCCAAAAACGAGGTTAGGGAAAAAGAAGGGAGCTCTGCTGAAGCTGTACAGCCTCTGCTGAGCGATGGGAAGAGCGAAGGGACCTCTGAGCCACAGAGCTGGAATCTGGGGGTCCCACCTGGACAGGGATCCCTGCTGCCCATAGGAGTGCACTGAGCTGAGGGCACACGGCCGCCTGCAGCCGCGGCTCACGCCTCCCCGTGCACACTGCTGGATGCTGGAAGCTCCTGCACCGCCAACGGAGCCCCAGTGCAGAGCAGCTCCCAGCACCCACTGCCCACCCTGCAGACGTGCAGTTGGATGCAGCCACGGAGCAGCTCCTGCCCAACAGAGTGCTGTAAAGCAATGACAAAGGATTGTCGATTCTGGGGCCTCTCTGTTCCCAGTGCCTGACTTACAGCCCTATTGCTGCTGCTCAGGTTTATCTCAACGCAACCAGTCGTGTCACACACACAGGAATGCTTCCAGCTGAAGTCCGGGCTGAAATCCTCCTCCCATTGAGTCCCAGGTGTTGTCACTGATAACGGACCACAGATGCAGCAGAGATGTCCCTGTGCCACATCCCTGCACTCCTCTGGGCTGGAAAAAGCCACTGAATATGCAGTACATCAGAATGATCTCCTGCACCTGAGCTGCAGCTCTGGTGC